AGTCTTAACCCATTAAACTTGCCTACTGCGATGTACGCAGAGGTTCACGTGTGAATTGGATTATCTTGGGAGTAGACTTTCGCTGTACCGCACTCTTCCCCCCCCCTTCCCCCACCTGGCTTGGTGCAATGATCAAATCTAGCAGACCGGAGGCGTGGAAGGTGGTGCTTTCCACACCCCAAATTCCTATTTTTGAAGCCTATCGCCCATGTTCTGTGCAAGTAAGAAAGCCATCAGCTGCATAGTCATATTAGAAAAAGTAAAAACTCAGTGATGATAGAGTAAACAAAAGTGACAATCGTTGGTCAAATTAATGGGGAGGATGAAAGTATCTAGTGATTAGGAATATGCAGCCAAAATAGGGAGTCAAACTGGGGATAAGCAGTGGCTAAAAGGCCTGGTTCGCTGTATTCCAGGGTTCTCAGCTGGGGTGTGGTCGTGCCCGGAACTGCACAGTGGGCTACCAGAGTTCGGTTCTGGCCGCGCTGAATGCAGAAAAGCCATCGAAGGCGGGGCAGCCACTGGAACCACTGCGTTGCGTCGGTCTGCTGCCCCGTGCAGTTGGTGCGAAGAAGGAGGTATTCCACCTCTTGACAGGCCTGCTTCAGGCTACTAAAGTCGCAGGGCACTGCAGCCTCTGGGAAGTCGAATACGAGGGTGCGCAGGCGGCTGTGAGGCTGAGTAGTCGCGGCGCTCTGCAGGGCCGTACTCACGTCCTCCACGGTGTCGGTGCTGACGTAGAGCTTCTCCAGGCCGGAACATGCGGCCAGAACGATCCCCAGGTTGCTCCAGCACACCCACTTTCCAGCGCAGAGCCTCAGACTGGTGAGGCCGGGGAACATATCGAGGAAGGGTATCAGCTTCTCAGCGGTGACCGGTTGCGTTTTGAAGCGCTCAAACTCCATGTGCCGGTCTGGTTCAATGCTCAGTTCCCTGACCTTAGTGAAGGCACCTTTTAGGGCGCTTATCTGACTGGCAGCAGTTTGATCGAGGCTGCAACCGAAGACGAACTCAGCCGAGACCTCCAGGCGCGTCAGATTAGCCTTGCACAGAGCCAGCAGTGGGATAAATTTCTCCCTGCAGAATGAAGCCAGCTCGCTGACCAGTTCATTCTCATGCTCGTAGGCGCCCTCCTTGCAGGCCTCAAATATCAGGTGACGGATTTCAGCGTGTCGACTTTTAATCAGCATCTCCGCAGCACTGAGTTTGTTGGAGGTCCGTTCTCTGTCTAGAGCGGCGGGCCGTCCCTGTAGGTACACCAAGCTCACGTCCAGCGGGTCGATTCGCTGCTCAGCGATGGCCATGCTAGTGCAGGAGAGTAGAACCAGACATTGGTCTGCGTACGCGGCCTGCATGTCTGCTCCTCCTCCTCCTGCCAACCCGAGGTTCCATCTAAGTCGCTCGCCCGCCACGGCACTGCCACAGTGCGCACAAATGTTCTCCTCCGGTAGTCGGCGGAACTTTCGTTTACCGGAGTAACTTATGCGAACATTGGCCAACCAGGGTCGTTCATAGTCCTCATCTATCAGCGGTACAGTCGCGTCCCGCACGTCAGTGATGCAGAGCTCTTGCAGATTGGGGTAGACAGCGGAGAAAGTATAGCGCAGGACGTTATGCACATTGGCAGCCAGGCTTAGAGTGCGTACCGTGGGCATACTGAACATGCGATACTGTTTCAGAAACCGGTCATCATCTTCTTGCATCACGCCAGCCAGGGTGAATTTACGTGTGAAATCCCAGGTCTCCAGAAACCGATCCGTCTGGTGGTACTTGTAGCGACCCCGCAGGATCACCTTCATGCAGCGCATCTGCTTGGGCTCCGCCAGGGGTGGATAGTGCTCGGCTGTGCCCTCCGCCTCCAGGTCCACGTTGACGGCCAGCTTCTGCAGACAGGGCAGCTGCGTCTCTTCCTGGGTGTTGGGTCGCGGTCTGAAGAGGAGTAGGTAGTCAAACAGGCTGATGCACTGTCTGCGCAAATCCAGACTGACGAGGTTGGGCAGACCGGTCTCGCGCAGCAGTTTGAGAATCATCAGACAGGCACCGCCTTCACCAGTGGGTCCACAGGCACCGCCGAGACTGACGTGCAAGCCCTCTCGTTGGCTAGTCAACAGATGAATGAGGGCTGGTGTGGCCTTGGTGAACTGGTCCGTCATCTGGTAGACGTTGCAGCCCTGATCGTCCCAGCTGGCGAACAGCTCCAGACATTTGGCACAGTCTTCCAGCTGGAGGTAGCGGTTTAGCTGCCGCGCGATCATCGGCTGTGACAAGGCGCTCACCTAAAGGCGGGGGAATGTCGGAAGGAGGGGTATGTTATATAGAGCCTAGGATTAGGAGTTTTTGAAAGGGTGTACTGAGGACCCAACCCCGAGTGCATACGCACGCACCAGTGTCTGCCTACCCCAATCCGGTCTGGCTAATCACCTTCCTGAGGCTGACTCTCATG